TTTAAATAGAGTATCTCTTACTATCTCTTCTTTCAGGATTTTGTTGATGATATATAGAAATGCTGATGATTTACCTAGGTTTATTTGCTAAAATTAATTGTTTCAACTAGCTTCTTAGATGAATGTCTAGGATTTTTATACTCTTGTTCTATTCAATCCAGTTGTCACTGGACAATTCAGTTGTCAGCCTCCTTGCTGTCCCATAAATAAGATACTTCATCTCTGAAGTTTGGGCGTATTCTCTGGCTGTGCCCATGCCTGGAAAGATCTCCTCCTCATCTCCCCCTCCTGGCTTCCATGGGTTTCTTCAAGCCCCAATTAAAATCTCATCTTCTATAGGAAGCCTTTTTAAAAATTTTACTCCTCCCCCTTAATAGTATTTGTTCCAATTGCATGTAAAGATAGTTTTTATTTTTTAAAATTAATTCATTTTGATTTATCAACAATCACTTTCATATGCTTTTGAGTTTAAAATTTTTTCCCCCCTCCTTTCCCACCAACCTCCCCAAGATGGTGCACAATCTGTTATAGTCTATACATGCACATTCCTGTTAAACATATTTTCGCATTAGTGATGTTGTAAGTAAGAATTAGAGCCAATAGGACGAACCACCAGAAAGAGGAAACATAGTTCAACAGAAGGAAAAAAATAGCGAATAGTATGCTTCAATCTGCATTCAAACTCCATAGTTCTTCCTTTAGCTGTGGATAGCATTTTCCATCATGAGGCTAAAGATAGTTTTTAACATTCATTTTTGCAAGATTTTGAATTCCAAATTTTTCTCCCTCCCCCCTCCCCAAGACAGCAAGTAATCTGATATAGGTTATACATGTACAATCATGTTAAACATACTTCCATATTAGTTGCGTTGTGAAACAAGAATTAGAACAAAAGGGAAAAACCATGAAAAAGAAAAAGCAGAAAACAGAAAAAATGAAAATAGTATGCTTTGATCTGCATTCAGACTCCATAGTTCTTTCTCTGGATGTGGATAGCATTTTCCGTCATAAGTCTTTTGGGATTGTCTTGGATCATTGTATTGCTGAGAAGAGCTAAGTCTATCATAATTGATTATCCCACAACATTGCTGTTACTGTGTACAATATTCTCTTGGTTCTGCTCACTCCACTCAGCATCAATTCATGTAAGTCTTTCCAGGTTTTTCTGAAATCTGCCTGCTCACCATTTCTTTTTTTTTTTTTAATATAAATTTATTTATTTTTAGTTTTCAACATTCACTTCCACAAGTTTTTGAGTTCCAAATTTTCACCCCATCTCCCCCTTCCTCCCCACCCCAAGATATCATGCATTCTGAATATCCCTTCCCCTAGTCTGTCCTCTCTTCTATCTCTCTCCCCTTCTCTTATCCCCTTCCCCTTCTATTTTCCTGTAGGGATGGATAGACTTCTGTACCCCATTTCCTATATTTCTTATTTCCCAATAGCATGTGAAAGCATTTTTTTTAAAACATGTGTTTTTAAAACTTTAGGTTTCAAATTTTCTCTCTTCCTCCCTCCCCACCCACCCTCATTGAAAAGGCAAGCAACTCAATACAGGTTGTACATGTGCAGTCATGCAAAACACGTCCATAGTAGACATGTTGTGAAAAACTAACTCTATTTCCTTTAATCCTATCCTGCCCTCCCATTTATTCTATTCTTTCTTTTGACCCTGTCCCTCCTCAGAAGTATTTACTTCTGATTACCCCTTTTCCCAATCTGCCATCCTCTCTATCATCCCCCTGCTCTCTTGTTCCCTTCTCCCCCTATTTTCCTGTAGGGTAAGACAGATTTCCATACCCAATTGAATGTGTATGTTATTCCCTCCTTAAGCCAAATCCTATGGGAATAAGATTCCCTCATTCCCTCTCACCTTCCCCCATTTCCTTTTCCACTGTAAGAGACTTTTCTTTTCTGTTTTTTTTTTTGTGCTGCTCACCATTTCTTATAGAACAATCATATTCCATCACGTTTATATACCAAAATTTGTTTAGCCATTCTCCAGTTCATGGGCATCCCTTTAATTTACAGGAACCCTTTCTAAAGAGACTTTTAATTATTTCCTATTTATTCAGTGTATAGCTTGATTGAACATATTTGTTTACTTGTTTTCTCCTCCAATTAGAATGTGAGCTCATAGAGAGCAGGGGCTGTCTTTTGTCTTTTTTTTTTTATGTCCCCAGCAATTAATACAGTGTGTGGTACAAAGTAGGTACTTAATAAATACTTGAGCAGCTAGGTGGTACCATAGTGCATAGATCTGCTGGGCCTAGAGTCAGGAAGACTCATCTTCTTGAGCTCAAATCTGTCCTTAGACACTAACTAGCAGTGTGACCCTGGGCGAGTCACTTAGCCCTGTTTGGCTCAGTTTCCTCATCTGTAAAATAGCAAACCACTTCTGCTTCTTTGCCAAGAAAACCCCAAAGGGGGTCACAAAGAGTCAGACATGACTGAAACACCTAACAACAACAACAACAATACATGCTTACCGACTATTATCACAAAAATAGTTTTGACCTCATGGACCCCTTGAAAAAGGTCTTGGGGACCTCCCAGGGTTCCCAATCACCTTTTGAGAACTGCTACCCTAGGGGGCAGCTAGGTGGCACAGTGGATAGAGCACCAGCCCTGAAGTCAGGAAGACCTGAGTTCAAATCCAGCCCCAGACATGTGATACTAGCTGTGTTGACCCTAGGCAAGTCACGTACCCTCGATTGCCTCATCAAAACAAACAAACAAACAAAAAACCCTGTTTCCATGAGAACTGCTACCCTAGACAGTGATTTTACCAAAACCATTCTCTCTCTTCAACTACACCCTCCAAGAATTCTCCTTTCTACTTGGTGAATCCAAGATTCAGCATTGACTGAAGTAATAAAAGACTTTATCTTTCCCTTAGTAGGATCATAATCACTCAACCACTTCCTAGAAGACTCCTTTTTAGACTCATCAGAAGACCGGGACCTGGAGGTAGGTTAGAAATTAGTTAGACTTTGATAAGATTGAACAAAAAAGATTTCACTGCCAGACATTGTTTTGAATTGATGGGAAAATACTGATAAGCATTTCTCATTCAGATTAGTTCAAAGCCTTTTAGAAAACTGCTTTCTTAATAGTTCTAAAAGGGGGTGGTGGTGGGCCAGACAACTTTGTTTCTGCATTCCTAAATCCACCCCTTTCAAATTTCTCTATTTTCATTATGGACACTAGAATCTCCTGAGTCTCTCAGGCTCTTCTCCCTATCCTTGATTCTTCACTCAAGTATAAATTGTTTTCTTCAAAGTTACAAATGGCTTCTGAATTGACACATTTGACTTGTTTTTTTTTATCTTTATCTTTTAATCTCTCTGAAAATGACACCTCAGATCAGCAGTTTCTTCTAGATACTTACTTTCTTATCCCACACATCCAAACTGTTGTAAAACCCTGTAATTTCTGCCTTCAGTGCACCTCTTCTATATGTCCCCTTCTCTTTGTTCACATCGCTGCCACCTCACTTTGGGCACTGATCACCTGGACTATTGCAATAACATTCTAATCGATCGCACTGCTCAAGGTCTCTCCCCACTCCAAATCATCCTTTGCTCAGCTGCTAAAGTTTTCCTAAAATGGAGATCTGTCCCAACTCAGTTTATTATAATACGTCTCTATTGATGTTCATCCTTCATTTTTGAAGAGGACCAATGATATCATGGGGTGATGTCTTGACTTGGATTTAAGTGAGGCAGAAATGCACAAAGTTGTCTGCCTCACTCTCTTCCAGAGTAATCAAAGTCCAGTATCAAGACAAAAATTAGGACAACCGGTCATGGCCTGGGACGTGGTGGATGACCTTGGTATCTTCAATGTCTGACCAAACTCTAAGCACCCCATGGTGCTGCCTTCATGGCTGTTGGAAAAAATTGTTTTCATCCTCTCATTCTGCCGTGGGAAGTCTTCACATACTTAGGGTAGGCACCCCACTAATTCACCAATGGGTTTGAGACCTGTCAGTTACTCTCAGCCTGGTTTAGCCTGTCTATCCAGACAATTGTAGTGGGCATGGTCAGCTTCCTGGAGTCACAGGTGAGAGTTGGGTGACAGGTGAACACCAAAGGTGATGAGCACCCTGAATAGGCTTAACAAGCCCTCACACTAGAGGTGATAGCTCTCCCTGAGCACCCCATACATTATTATATATACTCTATTACCTCCAGCATCAAATTTAAAGTCCTTTGTCGGCATTTAAAGCCTTTCACAACCTGCCCCTTGATACCTTTCCAATCTTGTTCCATTTCATCACTCTCCAGAATCCAGCAATACTGGCATACTTTAATATTCTTCTCATAGTACACTCCATCCCTGTATCTTGTCATTGATTGCTTTCCCTCTTTTTTTTTTTCTTGCTAAGTAATGGGGTTAAGTGACTTGCCCAGGATCACACGGTGTGCTAGTGTTATGTGTCTGAGGCCGTATTTGAACTCAGGTCCTCCTGAATGCAGGGCCTGTGCTCCATCCACTGCGCCACCTAGCAGCCCCTCTCCTGGCCTCTTTTAAAACTCAGATAAAATCCCAGCAGGAGATTTTTCCACTCCCCCGACCTCTCAATGCCTCCCCAGCAATGTGATCCTGGCAAGTCACTTCACCTTTGACTGCCTCATTCTCCTCCTTTGTAAAATGGGGATAATAATAGCACCTCTATCCCGAGTGATATTTGTAAAGCACTCCGCGAACCTTAAGGGGTATACAAATGCAATTATTATGCCTTTTGTTAATGAACGCTGGTAGGCTCAGCCTCGAGCGCCCTCTGGTGGCCTCCTGCGCTCCTCGCCGCTTGCAGCAGCCGCCGGTTCCTCTAGAGGGAGACCTTCTAGGCTACGCTCGGCTCTCTGCGCCCTGGGCCTGCTGCTCGCGTCTCGTTGGTACGGTGGGGGCGACCTCTGACCCCGGCGGCTGCGGTAGCGGCGGCCGCAGCAGCAGCCGCAGCCGCGGAGGGAGGGGAGGGGCGGGGCGGGGCGGGGCGGGAGGCCTCCGCTCTGGGGCCGGCGCTGGAACCGGACCCGACCCGACCCGACCCGACCCAGGAGCCGGGAGCGGGGCCCCTGGCTCCGCCTGGACTGCGGGGCGATGTGAGTCCGGGGCGCGCCGGGCCCGGGCCGCCCCCTCCTCCTCTTCCTCTCCGCCCTCGGGGAGCTGCCCTTGGCCTTGAGTGGTGGAGGAGCCGGGCCTGGCTCGGAGACCGGAGGGAGGAAGGACCCGCCCCCGTCCTTGCTGGCATCCCTGAGGGCCGGGCCCGGGGAGGACACCCCCTACCCCGCCCTCACCCCGGGATCTCCCAGTCAGGCCGGGCCTGAGCGGCCTCAGGCGTCCCCGGGCCGGCCTTCTCCATTCCTCAGGTCTCTGGACCTCTCTCACCTGCCAGGCCAGGGGCCGGGAGGCTTGGAGACGGAGGATACATCAGAGCAGGGGCTGTCAGGGCTGCAGAAGGCCTGAGAACCTAGAATGTTAGAACAGACCTAGAATGGCAAAGGTGGGAGGGACCTGAGAACCTGGACTGTTAGAAAGGACCCAGAATGGCAGAGCTGGGAGGGACCTGGGATCCTAGAATGTTAGAAACAGACCTAGAATGGCAGAGCTGGGAGGGACCTGGGATCCTAGAATGTTAGAAACAGACCTAGAATGGCAGAACTGGGAGGAACCTGACCTAGACTGTTAGAACAGTCCTAGAATGGCAGAGCTGGAAGAGACCTCAGAACATAGAATGTTAGACCCTAAGACGATAGAATGGCAGGACTGGAACGTACCTTAAAGCAGTAGTGTCAAACTCAAATAGAAAGGGGGCCACTGAAGCATTCATAAGGATCACTGTGGGCTGCATATCAACTTAGTTTTAAAATGTAATGATGTCTGTGTTTGTTTTTTTTTATATTTTTATTTATTATTTATTTTGCTAAATGTTTCCCAATTACATTTTAATTGTTTCTGGCCACTGGCATGATTGACACTTCAGCCAAAGAATGTTGGGGCACTCAACAGAAGATTGTCAGCAGAGCCTAGAATGTTAGAACACAGAGCTTGGGATGTTGGAGATGGAAAGACAGGGCTGAAATGGACCTTAGAACATGGAATGCCAGAAAATGAACTTTAGAACATAAAATGTTAGAATATAAAACAGAATGTTAGAGCTGGAAGTGACTTCAGCTCATCCCAACAAAGAAAGAAACTGAGGGCTAGAGAAGAAAAATAACTTGTCTAAAGTCTATACAGCTAGTCAGGGCAAGGACGCAAACCCCAGGCACCTCTTCCCCTGGCCTATGATCTTTCTCTTACCATGTTATCACCCAAAGGAACCTTTGATCATCTTGCCTGGCAGATTTCGCTAGGTAACAGTCCTGATCTCTCTCTCTCTCTCACACACACTCTCTCTCCAGGGCAAAAGGGTTCATGGAAGTGTCAGGTAGGTTGCCCAGAAATTTTGGGAGACAGTTGGGCATAGGCAAGATCTGTTTCAGAACAGAAATAGTCTGAAAGCATATTTGTTACTGTTACAAATTGGATTGATGTAGAAAACAAAGTATTTCTTGTGATGTGTTGTTGAATGTAATGGAAAGAGCACTAGATTTGGAGTGAAGATCTCAAGTCAAATCTCCGCTCTGTTGCAGTCATTGTATGAGGTGGAGGAAATTATTTGCTCATTTGGAACAATATTACAAATCTCAATCTTCCCATTTGGAACAGTGTTACAAAGTATATCTAGCTTGAACTAATTGATATTTAATGTATCTTATAACTATTTTATGAGAAGCTAATAAAACAAGAGGGTGCAATTTCAGCAGACTGAGTATTTGGGGGTTATTTTCCCTCCTTCCCATTCAGATGGCTTCTTCCTGGGATTAGGAAGACCTGAGTACAAATCATTATAGAAACTAACTGTGTGACCTTGAGCAAGTAACTTTGCCTATTTGCCTCAGTTTCCTCAATTATGAAATAGGGATAGTAATAGAACCTACTTCTCAGGGTTGTTGTGAAGACAAAATGAGCTAATGTTTTTAGAAAGTGCAGTGTCTGGCACATAATAGATTCTATATAAATACCTTTCCCCTTCCCAACTTTATAAATTGTCTAGGGCTTGCATGCTCTGAGATTCAGGTAGTATTGGTCTTGTGGCCAGAGAATCCAGGCCCTATAAGATCTTAAATAAGGGAGCACCTTTATAGGGCTCCAGAAAATGGAATTGGAAGGAATACTTTTCTCACCATAAGAAACAAATAATTCCTGCCTTACCTGTCTTGCAAAAGTTCTTTGAAAAGTTGAATGTATTTCGTAGACAAAAGATGTTTTCATAGCAATAAAATTCAGAGCAAGGTGTTTTCCTTGACAATCATAACCTCTGGGCCAGGGATGAAAGGTCTGTGGCTGAACCCGCTGTCCCATTGTCTCCTTTGTTAGGTGAACTCTGGGTCTGTCCCAGATGGAGCCTGAGTGACTTCTCTGCAAAATGGCTACCATGATGCCCCACTGAGGATTGTGGGGATAAAGTGGGAGTCCTCTCCCATCCCCTTCATGTGGTCAGCTCCCCAATGGCCTGGGTGAGGTAAGAACTCTATGCGGGGGGGTAAGGGGGGATTACTCAGGACTTGATGCTCAGGGCTTTTCCAGTTAAAATAGAACTTTGGGGGGGAACCAGAGGAATGTTGGTCATACGGATAATACTTATCTGCCAGTGACTTCTCAACTTTTGTCTATTCTCTTGGTTCAACCGATTCTAGCTTGGTTCCAAGCTTGGGTTTACATCATAGTTCAGTCCATTAAAGATTTATTGAGCACCTTCTCTGTGTGTGTGTGTGTGTGTGTGTTGTGTGTGTGTGTGTGTGTGTGTGTGTGTGTGTACACAGCACTGTGCTAGTCCTGGAAATCCAAAGTTCTTTCAGACACAGAGGTGTTTGTGTGGACGTTCCTGTCTAATGGGAGAAGGGGAATGTGTGCAAATGATTGGGATACAAGGGAAAAGGTTATTAGGGCAGAGAAGAGGTCCAGGCAAAATGATATGAGAAATTTGAGGGCCAGTCTCACTTTTAGCTGAGCATTTCAGGGAAGACTTTATGGATTGAGGAGTCTGGAAGCTTCCACAGCTGCCTGAGATTCAGTCCTCTGAGGCCTGTTCCAGGTTCACTGCAGCCTGTGCACCCATGCTGCGCTGTGCTCCCAGCCTGGCACGATACACCTTCCTGATCAATCATCCAGGTTGTCTTGGGCTGGAAATTTGTTTCACTGTCTTTTTGTGGATTCTGCTGCTTCAGAATTTGTTTAGAACCATTTTTTTTTATGAGTATTTGGAGGGGTTTGGAGGAGAGCTGAAGCAAGTCACTGCTTTCACTCTGCCATCTTGGCTCCGGCCCCCCCCCCGGGAAGACTTTATGGAAGAAGTGGTCCTGACATTTGTAGTCCCTTCCTGCCTTGCCTCCCCTTCATCCATTTCTCTTGTTCATGAGATCTAATATTTGCTACATTTAACTGGGATCCTCCTGTTGTGGAGACTGAGGAAGGAATGAGAAGCTGGGTCTGCTCTGTGAGAGTTTCTGCCAGCCCATAGCTGGGTTTTGTAGGGCAGGATGGGCCAGGGAAACCACAGGACAGGCTAGCACCCAAGTCTCATATGGCAGACAGAGACGAACAAAAACAAAACAGGCATGTATGAACAAATAAGAACAGGATCTAGACTTTCAAAACTTTATTCGGCATTTGGTGGAATTCTCTCCATTGGATAGAGAACCAGCCCTGGAGGCAAGTAGGCCTGAGATCAAGCCTTATCTCTGACATATTCTGGCTGTGTGACTCTTGGCAGGTCACTTAACCTCTCAGAGCCCTCTGCAAGTTGCGGAGGAGGCAATGATCTATATTGGTAGATGGAGTTTCCTCACTGAGAATTCCTTCTGCTGATAAAAATCATAAACCTGTTTTAAAAAACAAACAGGGACAGCTAGGTGGCACAGTGGATAGAGCACTGGCCCTGGAGTCAGGAAGACCTGAGTTCAAATCTGACCTCAGACACATAATACTCACTAGCTGTGTGACCCTGGGCAAGTTACTTAACCCCATTGCCTAGCCCCCCCCCCCAAAATATTTGGAACAAACAGATGTATAATATGTGTGAGGTCAGGAACTGTTTCTTATTTTGCCTTTGTATCCATAGCCCCTAGCACAGTGCTTGGCACAATAGATGCTTGCTGAATTGGATTAGAGAGGCGGAAGTGCAGGGGGTAGAAAACCCAGCTTCCACTACAGGACTCTGTTTGGGATTCTATACTCATGAGCGGAGTATATTCTGGGACTTTGCTTCATGATCTGCTTACTATCTCTGTCCTGCATTTTCATCCCAGGGCTGACCAGCTGTTTTGACATCATGGGAAGCTGCCTCGGCTGCCTCTACAGAGACAGTGTACCAAACAACCATCCTACGAAATTCAAGGTACCTTCCCTCCTCACCGCCCTTCCTCCCCTTACCACCATTTACCTCTTCCCATTCCTGGGGAACCTCTTGGGCCATCATCGGAGGTGTTCCAGAATGAAGGCATGGTGAGGAGGAGTCACTTCAGCCCCACAAAAGGAAGTGACTGTTGTTGGCTCGTATGTGAACCAAGGAACTCTCTTCTACCTATAGGAGGAGCCCCCTTCCCATTCCTAGTGGCCATTGAAGTTGGAACTTGCTTTATTATCCATCTGAAGAGGGAGCCCTTGTCTCAAAGGAGTGCAGCTTTGGGGAGGAGAAGGGAGGAGACAGTCAGTACCTCTTTCTACTTTTGTCTTCACCTTCTTCTTGACTCTCTCCCCCCTCCAAAAGAAAGCCTCTGAATTGCCACCCTGCACCCTAGTAATGCCCAATGTGGGCATGTGAAGAAGACTGGAGTTCAGGATCCTAGAATCACAAAATATTATCATTGGAAGAGACTTTAGAAATAATCTCATCCAGCCTCATAAGCAAGAGGCCTAGAGGAGGAAATGGAGGTCCAGAAAATTTGTGTTTGGCTCAGAGTTCCACAGATAATTGGTAAAAGGCTAAGATTTGAACCCAGCCCCTCTAGTTCCAAATCTACTGTTCTTTCCTTTTATGGAATTGTACCATGATTCCCATACTAAAACCATAAAGGGTCACAGCTGGATAAGACCTTAAAGATAATTAATTTAATCCAAGATTCTCATTAACTTAGTCCAAGATTCTTCATTTTAAGTGAAAACTGAGGCTGAAGAGGGGAAGTGATTTTCCTAGAGCCACATAGCGAGTCAGTCTTAGCTGGGACTAGAACTCAGTTCTCTTGACAAGCAGTGATGTAGTAGGATGAGCACCAGATCTGGAGTCAGAACACATGGCTTTTAGTCTTGGCACTTCTGTTTGTTAGCTGTGTGACTGTGGGTAAGTCACTTTACATTTCTGAACCTCAGCCTCAGTTTCCTCACCTGTGAAATGAGAGAGTTGGACTTGATGGGCTCTGAGATCTCTCCAGCTCTAAATTTCTGTTCCAGTAATGTTTAAAGTCCCATCCAGCTCTAACACTCTATGGTGCTGTGATATTCTAAGGTCCCTTTCAGTTCTAAATCCCAAGATTGGTCATTAGAATCTCTCCACTAGCCCATGATTGCTTCCGCCTTTACTCCCGTGATTGCTTCCATGCTGTCCCAAATTGACCCTTCCTTCTACACCCAGGTAATAAATGTGGATGATGAGGGGATGGAGCTGGGCTCTGGGGTGATGGAGCTGACCCAGAGGGAGCTGGTGCTGCACCTCCACAGGCGTGATGCTGTGCGGTGGCCCTACCTTTGCCTGCGGCGATATGGCTTCGACTCCAACCTCTTCTCTTTTGAGAGCGGCCGACGCTGCCAGACCGGACAGGGTGAGCACCAGCCTCTCTTCTCATGGCTGCATGGGCACATTTCTGTTCTCGGCCTGCTTCTCCTGGACCTGGGACCTGGGGACCCTAGCTGAGGTAGGCCACAACCTGCAGGGGTGTGGTGATACAGAGCAGAGCTGTCATTGGGCCATCTCCACGTGGCTCAGTGGAAGGCCCTACCTTATGTCAGGATGTTAAAAGCAGAAGGAATGTTACAGGCCAGCAGTGTGGTTTAGTGGGAAAAGCACTGGCTTTGAAGTCACACAGCCTGGGTTCAAATCCTAGCTCTGAGTGAAAGGACATGGTGGGCTCAGGGAGGGAGGTGAGTGAGTGTGACTGACCAGCCAGAGCCATGTCTGTCCTATAACCTCTTGGAAGACAGCAGCAAGGGCTGGAGTTGTAAGGGAGAGAGAAAGAGAGAGGAGATTGCTAGGGAAGATGGCCTTATTGCACAGCTTTTCTGTATCATGGACCCCTATAATGGGCTGGTGAAGCCTAGGAATCCCTTCTTAGAAAAATGTTTTTGAATGCTTGAGATAAAGTACATAGGATTATAAGGGAAACCAATTATATTGAAATGTGGTTATCAAAATATTTTAAAAATCATTTTTATTTCATTAAGTATTTCCCAATTATGTGTAAAAAAACCTTTTTTAACAAAAATTTTTAAGACTTTTGAGTTCCAAATTCATTACCTGCCTCCCACCTTTCCCCCCTCCTTGTGAAGACAAGCACTTTGATTTTGATTATAAACGTAAGGTCAAACAAAAACATTTCCATATTAGCCATGTTGCAAAAGAAGACGCAAACAGAATGAAATAATAAAAATAAAGTTTTTAAAAAATTATGCTTCTCTCTGCACTCAGAGTTCATCAGTTGTCTCTCTCTGAAAGGGGGTCTCCTCATGGTCCTTTGGAATTGTCTTGGATTGTTATCTAGCTAAGTCTCTCACTGTTGATCATTGTTTCAATTTTATTGTTCCTGTGTATAGTGTTCTCCTGGTTCTGTTCACTTCACTTTACATCAGTTCATTTAAGTCTTCTTCAGGTTTTTCTGTCAAAATATTTAAAAGTAAAACAACAGCAATAACAAAAATCCAAGTTCCTGGGCTCCTGCTTAATGAAATCGAAGGAGGCTTTCTTTTCCTCTCTTGGCAGACCAGCTTTTGGGTATCTCATGCCCATCTCCCTTTTGCAAAGCTGCTGATCTAGCTAGGATAATAGATCTGGGGTTTGATGCTTTTTAAAAAATATTTTTAGGGCACTCAAAATTATTTGGAGAATGTTTGGAAATGTGTTTATTGTGTTGTGTGCAAAGCGTGAACAAAATGAAGCAGGGTGGTGCAGTAGAAAGAGAATCAACTCTGAAGTCCAAAGACCCGAGTTCAAATTCTGCCTCTGCTACTCACCTTCCTTGGACCATTCTCTTCACCTTTCTGGACTTCATTTTCCCCTCCTTACAGTGAAGAGGAGGTTGAGTTAGGTGATCTCCAGGTGATCACTCAGTGTAAGCTGTGGCAACATCTCACAAGTTGGAAGGGCTTCCATGGTACCTCTGACACATACTGGCTGTGACACTAGACAAATTGCTGAACCTAACTGTGCCCCAGGCACCTCTGTAAGACTTAACTTGCAGAACAGTTGTTGATCTCCATTGGAAAAGGGAGCTTCCTCACTAAATTCCCTTCACTGATGAAGTTACATGTCTAGTCCCTGCTTTCCGTACCACCTGTCCTTGGGCCCCTCTTTGCCATGGTTACTGTCCTTGTCTCCTTTATAGACACCGGCAAAAGGAAACTCAAGATGTTATTCCACAGCCACATTTGTAGTACACTGAAGCTTTGGGGTTCGTGGAGAATGATGAATTAGCTTGTTTGCACTCTTGGGCCGTTTCCATGGCTTTGCCTGGCTCCCTCCCTCGGGTGGTTTGACCTAGTCCCCAGGCTGTGATCATGAGGCATTCCATAGTTCCTCCTTGAGAAAAACAGCCACATTCCAAGCTGCCTCCACACCTCAGGGGAAGTGGGAGCACTGCATCTGTGGGTGAGGGAGATCTAAGCTCCCTTGCCATGTGTTTTAGGAGTTGCATTAAGACAAGGGGGGAGATCACTCTAGGCTATAGAGCTTTTCTCAGAGGAGCCTAGTGGGCTTTGAGTAGCATTGGAAGATGGGGGAGGATTTGCTAGGCAGCAAGGCATGATAGAAAGAACTCTGGAGCTGGAGTTAGCCTAGGCCTGAATCCCGGCTGTGTTTCTCCCTGTTGTGTATGATCTTAGGGATTCTTTCTCTCATCCTCTGTATCTTCGTTTATAGAGTGAATGGCTTTAAGTGGCAAAGAAAGGAAAGTCTGGATGGAAATAGGAAGTAGGGGCTGGATGGAGTTTCCATAGCCATCTCATGGGGAAGAGCCAAACTGACCCCAGCCCAAGGGCTCGAGCAGCAAACAAAAGAAAACAGTGGTAGGGGAGGCAATTCCAGGCTTTTACAAACTCCAAAGACCTCATTTTTTTGTGCATCATAACTTTAATAAACTAGTGTCCCCAGTGCAAAATAAAATAAAATGAGAGAGTCTGGCTAGGTGGCTTCTACAGTTCTTTCCAGTTCTCAAGCCTTTGTTGTGGATGGAGTGGAACAGGGAGGGAGGACATCTTCTCTCATTGGATAAAGTGGTTGATTAGGGAGAGGTGCCAGCTGCTGAGGCTAGCCCACCCAGGTCACAGGGTATTTTCCCTTTGACTCCCCCTTCCAATTTGTCCTCTAGCCATGGAGGTGCTCCCCAGAGCTGGTAGACATTTGGTGTAAGAGAGAGAGTATTGTATGGGGCCCACTAAATGCTTATTGATGGAGTGATTGATTAGGCCCAGTGGGTAAGAAGTCAGGGGCACAAAGTATGGGCAGCTATCATTTGGTACACTTTTCCTGTCTGATTTTATTTCTTTCCTTCCCACTCTCTACCCCAGTGAAAATGGTATAGCATTCAGAAAAAAATAAGTATCCAGCATCATGTTTTTGTGCATCCTCTTTCCTTAGGAGGGCTGGGATGGTGATTGTTCCTGTGATTTGGAGGTGAAATCTCATTTGGGCAGCTGATTGGCCTTCTAGAAACACTGTGTGCCAGGGCTATGACTTGGGATTGGTGGGGGTATTTGGAGGGAGAGCAGCATTCACATGCCATCCTTCCATGTTGTGAGCAGTTTGTAGTCCTATCATCTACATCTGGAGTTCTTCGCCTTTTCTGGGCCATGGACCCTCCCAGGGGTGGGGAACCTGCGGCCTCGAGGCCACATGTGGCCCTCTGGGTCCTCAAGAGCAGCCCTTTGACTGAATCCAAACTTCACAGAACAAATCCCCTTAATAAAGGATTTGTTCTCTAAAGCTTGGACTCAGTCAGAAGGCCACACGCAAAGACCTAGAGGGCCACATGTGGCCTCGAGGCCGCAGGTTCCCCACCCCAGCTAGGCACTCCAATGAAACCTGTGAACTGCTTCTCAGAATAATGTTTTTGAATGTGTAAAATAAAATATAGAGGATTACTAAGGAAATCAAATGTTACTGAGGATAAAGAGATATTTTTTTTATACCCCCTTGAAATCTATCCATGGACCTTAGGTTAAGAACCCCTGATTTACGTTGAAAACATACTGACCTCCATACTTAGCATGTGTTGTGGCAGCTTCCCTGGCCTTCCTAGGTGGTCACCCTGTTCCTTCCATAGCTACGAATTGTCTGGAAAGCGGGGAATCCTCATTGATAACTCACGTTGAAAGAATGCTGTTAAGATTGACGAGAGGTTAGTGTGGTGGTGAGAACAGGGCATTGACCTTGTAGTCAGGAAGACCTGGGTTTGAACCCCACCTCACAGGCAAGTCCGTTCACTGAGCCTTCTGAGCCTCAGGTACCTCTCTAAGACTGTTGAGTTAGAGCTGAGATGCTACCTGCATCAGTGGAGAGATTCCCAGCCTTTCAGAATCTCAGGGTTTGACATTGACGTATAAAGGTACAGTAGGTGCTTCCCTTACGAGAACACTTTGGGGCAGCACATGGATTGCTCTCATTTAGAAAACTAAAAAACTGGGGTTCAGGGAAATGAAGTGACACGTTTAGTGTCACACAGCCGCAAGTAATATGCCGTCTTTCCCTCCTTGGACAGGCATCTTTGCATTCAAGTGCTCTCGGGCTGAGGAGCTCTTCAACCTCCTGCAGGATCTCATGCAGTGCAACAGCATCAGTGTGATGGAAGAGCCGGTCATTGTTACCCGAAGCAGCCACTCAGCCGAAATGGGCCTGCCCCAGACCCCCCATGCTGCCAATGGTGAGGCTCCCCTCAGCTCCTCACACCCAGTGGCCTTGGGGAGGGGGCAGGGAAGGCTGAACCTGGGAAGACCAGGAGCAATAGTACCTGGTCCTTAAGGATGGGTAGGGCACAGGGCCCAGCTCACCAGAGTGCTGTGAAATACCATGCCCAAATTGATGGTTGGGGACCCAGGAAAGACATAATGGATCTGCATGGTACCAGCATCCCCTAGAACTGGGGTTCCAGCCAACTATACCTTTCTGCCATCTCTCTCAAGTATGAGTTTCTGGAGAGGTGGGACACTGATCTTTATTCACCCCTCATTCATCAAGCACCTGCTTGAGGGTTAGTGGAAAGAGCACTGGGTTTGGAGCCAGGAGGCCTGAGTTCAAATTCCACCTTTAACACTTCCAGTGTGACCTTGGCAAGTCACTTAACCTTTATGAGTCTCAGTTTCTGCATCTATAAAATGTGAAGAATAAATCCTCTTCTGCTTACCTTTTGGAAGTTGTTATAAAACCAGAAGCTTGCCAAAACCTAAAGTGCATCATAAACCACAAAGCACCATGAGGATGTGGACTATTGTTGTCACCACTTACTGAGCACCTCCTCTGTGCTGTGCATTATTGTGGGCTGGGGAAGCCAGATGGAATGTGAAATATGCCTGCCCTCCCCTCAATTAATCAATTAACATTTATTAAGTGCCTGCTATGTGTTAGGCACTGTGCTAAGCACTTATGACAAGCTCATTAAAAGACAAGATAGACACACACACACACACATATGCACACACACACGGACACACACGCGCATGCACCAGGTACAGAGGGAAATGCCCTGTCAACGTCAGTGCGGCTGTTCAGGTTGTCCATTAATAAGCATTACATGAGATGGCCTAATGCAGACTGGATTGGAGTCAGGACTAGCTGAGTCCCACCTTGGGGGGATACCTCTGGGCTGTGTGATCCTTAGCAAATCACTTAACTTCTCAATGCTGCAGGTAATTCTTTCTGTAACTAGAAGTTGCAGAACCATGACAGATCGATATTGGTATAGGCCCACAGGTTCCCCACTCTTGGATAGAGAATTTCATACCTGAAATTTCTCCGTGTTAATAGAGAACAATCCCAGATCCTGACCCACCCCAAAGTGCCCGGAGTGTGCAGGACTAATCATTCTTGTTTTGGGAGCGAAGAGGATAGAGATCATTCTGAGCTGGGTGGGTTGGAGAAGACTTTGTGCTGGAGGTGGGCTTGGAGTGAGCTTTAAAATGTAGGGGGGAATTTGATGGGTAAATTTGGGTAGGAAGACGTAGTAGGTAGAAGGAGAAGCATGAGCAAAAGTATGGCAGTGGGAAAGTCCAAGGTATGTTCTGAAGTTTGATTGGACCATAGACTTTGGAAGGAAGTAATAAGCAGCAAAGCCAGGGTTGTCTAGTGGCACCAGATCTTGGAGGGCTTCAGATACCAAGCAAATGATTTGGAACTTTGCTTAGTAGGTAATAGAGAGCTACTGGAAACTTTTGAACCACTGATTAGAACCCTGCACAAGGAAGATTAGTGTCTGGCAGGGTATGATGGGTCTTTCCTTCTGGAGGGATACTTGTCTAGGAAATGATGCATGGTTGCCTCTAGCTCTGCCCTTGGTGGGACCTCTTCTTCCTTCCAGCTCTAGGCTACACTGTGTCTGGCTTCTCCAATGGCTTCCCCAGCTTCCCTGGGGATGGCCCGCCATACTCCACCCCTCGCCCCACCTCTATGAGCAGCTTGCGACACTCTTCCCTTGGAGAGGAGTCTACTCATGCCCTTATTGCCCCCGAGGAGCAGGTGAGTGCCAATTGGCTGCTAAACTCTGGCTTTGGGCTCATTGGCAGGAGAAGGGTTAGGAAGCACCGGGGGAGCTTGGCTGTTCCCTCGATTGGGAACCTTGTGAGAGGAGAAGAGAGGGGAGGGGAGGAGCCTTTACTGGAGGGTTTGGAGTTGGAGAAGATGCCAGCTTTCTCTTTCTGACCCTACTCTGTCCCTCTACCCCCTGGCTTTTGGTGCCTCTTTTCTTTCTTCTCCTCCCTCATCTTTTTTATTCAGTTCTTTTTGGAGGCTTCATGATGTAGTGGAAAGAAAGTCTGCCTAGAACCCAGGAAGACCTGGGTTTAAGTCCTGCCTCCAACACATCTTGCTGTATGAACCTGGTCAAGTTACTTAAACTCTCAGTGTTCTAGGAAACTCTCTAAGACTAGATGTTTCAGAGAGGGGAGGCTGACAACCTGTATTTGTGGAGGGAGCTCCTTCGCCTGTGAATTCCCTATCCCTATGAAATTATGGATCCAGTCCTTGTCTCTTTCTCTTTGGAGAAGTTCTTTTCACCCTTTGACCCTCTCAGCTCTCCGCTGGTTTCATGCATTTTGCTTTTATTTTTTATAGTCCCACACCTATGTCAACACACCTGGAAATGAGGAAGACAGAAGGGGCCGGCGATGCCTGCAGCCCTTGCCTGAAGGTCGGGTAGGCTTCCCTTCGAGGGCTCGAAGCTGTGTCCTAGACAGCCGAGACCCCAAAGTGTTCCTGCAGCCAGGTCAGGTGAAGTTTGTCCTGGACCCGAGCTCCACCCTCCGTCATGTGGTGAAATGTCAGGGTTACTGTGGCAGCCCTGGGCCAGAATGTGGGGGTCCCCTGTGTTTGGGCCAGCAGGGTGGTCCAGCCCACAACAACAACAATGAATGCCCAGCTGAGTGTCTGGCCCAGCCCAAGTGTACATATGAGAACGTTACTGGCGGGGGGCTGCCCCGTGGTGGGAACTGGAGACTGAGCCAGGAGGAGCTGAGCTGGAATGGCTTCTCACAGCGGCGGGCAGCTCTGCTGCACTATGAGAACCTGCCCTCACTGCCCCCTGTGTGGGAGAGCCAGGCCCAACAGCTAGGAGATGAGGATGATGGGGACTCCAGGGATGGGCTGACCCCTTCCTCTAATGGCTACCCTGATGGTGGTGATGAGGATGAGACCCCACTCCAGAACTACATAAATGCTCGGGCTGCCCCCCGAAGTCACATCAACTTCCCGGTCCCACTGTCCCGCCGCCGGGGATCTCCCCGAGTATTCAACTTTGACTTCCGCCGGCCAGGTCCAGAACCACCACGACAGCTGAACTACATTCAGGTGGAACTGAAGGGCTGGGCTGGGGACCGCCCCAAGGAACACCAGAGCCCCCCAGCTCCTCGTCCTGCAGTGCCCTCTGCCCATCCTACCCGTCGGTCAGATTCCTATGCTGTGATTGACCTTAAAAAGACGGCAGCAATGTCCAGCCTGCAAAGGGCACTGCCCCGAGATGATGGCACTTCCCGGAAAACCCGCCACAACAGTACTGACCTGCCGCTGTAGGGAGAGGCCCACTCGTCATGACCCAGAGTGTGCCTTCCTATGGTCCTCCTCTTCCTCTTCAGCCTACATCTAAGGAGATTTCAGCCATTGGTTTCCCCTCCTGGTTCCTTGATCCATTTTCCTTAACTCTCCTCTCTAGAGGGTTCGCTGCTGCTTTGCTGGAGGGTACTGGGGCAGGAAGCATCATGCCCTGATGCATGCTGGGGTTCACCAAGATACTTATTACTGGGCTTGGGGTTTCCTGGAGCCAGCCTTCTGGGAAGAGGGCACTTGGGAGAGGAGGGAGCAAAGCTGTGAACTGTGAAAAGAGATCATTTGTGATCACATTTGAAGCTACTCAATTAAGTGTCTGTCTGTCTGTCTGTCTGTCTTTTTTTTTTGTGTTGCAGTTTGGAAACATTTTGTACTTTGATTTATTTATCAGTTTATTTTTCTATTTATTGTTTTAAATGTTATTTAACATATTTATTAATTATTATTATTATTTTTAAATCCTGGCTCTGTGGATGATGTCACCCTTGTGTTCCTTTCTGGGGAGGGGATGGAATTGGGAAAGTCTCCTGTGGTCAGGCCTGGAGGGCTAGGCTGTTCAGGAAGCCCAGGCAGCTCTGGGTTAGGTCTTAAGGGCTATGACCATTTCTTATTTTCTTCTTGAGGGATCCTGGCCCAGAAGTTGCCCAGATACCCTGTCCCATGAAAGTCTGGCTAACAGGACAACAGCAGGGACCCTGGATAGAGAAAGGGAATCTCCATTTGGCTTATATGACCTTGTATGTGGTTCACTAGAACAAGCATTTATTAAGTGCTTACTGTGTACCAGGCATTATGCTCAGTGCTGGGGATACAAAGACAAAACAGAAACAAATCCCTTTTCTTTGGGGGGAAGTGGGGAGGGAAGGGAACAACATGTATGAAAATGAGTCAATATAAGATGAGCATAAATTTAGTACAAATAATTTGTGGAGAGCATTAACAACTTGGGTTGGGAGATAGGGCTTGAAGAGGACTCTGGGTGAGGCCAGAGTAAGGTGGGGAGAGCATGGGAGATGGCCTCAGTTTCCCTCTGATAGCCCCAGCCCTTCCCCTGACCTTCTGTTTCCCTTCTGCAACCCTTCCTATTTAACCAGGGTTAAAGCAACAGCAGCAGTTAGGGGGTGGGCTTGGGCTTGGGACCTGGGTTCAAATACAGACTTTGCTACTGCCTGTGTGACTTGAATCACTTCCCATCTCTAGGCCTCAGTTCCTCTTCTGTAAGGTGAGGGGGTGAGGATGGGAGAATGGACTAGGTGACCTCTAGGGTCCTATCCAGCTATAATCCTATTGCATCTCATTTCCAGTGCAAGCAGCTGAGGGCCTGGGTGGGAGTAGCAGGACAGCACGGCCATCTCCTGTCCCTCTTTGTGCCTCAGTTTCCCCACCATGCCTGCCCCCCCCCCACCATGAGAGAGTTCTTATATCTAGACAGCTTTAGGCTTGACAAAGTGCTGTCCTCATTACAGCCACGTGAAGGTGTCAGAACCAACACTCCCACTGCCATTGTACAATTGAGGCAATGAAGGCCTAGAGAGATGAACTGGCTTTCATGTGGTCAGGATAGGACTCGGGGCTCCTGACTCCAGGCCCAGTGATGTCCCCTCTAAACCACACTGCCTCTCCAGCTGAGCTGAAAAGAAGCCCAAAGCATCCTCAGTGATGAAGAGGAAATGGAAGACAAGAGGAACCCCACATACAACCAACAAGGATGGAGAGAGGAGCTGTCTGATCCCAGCCTGGCCTTGGTCCCCTACCCACAACCACACCTGCCAATCTTTCCATCTGAAAAAGGGCGGTGGATTCCAAAAGGGAAGACTTGGGTTTGAGCACAGGCTCTTTCAAGAGGCATCTTGATGTCATGGAAAGAGCCGGATGACCTGTATTCGAATCTTGCTTCCTGCTTGGCATAATTGGAAGAGCACTGGCTTTGGTGTCAGGGGACACCAAAGGATGGGTTTAAATCCCATCTTTGATATTTATTACCTGAGAGACCCTGATGAAGTTGCTAGACCTCAGTTTCCTCATATGTAAAATAAGGATAGTATTTGCACTATTACCTCAGTGTTGTGAGGCAAGTGCTTTGTTAACTGTTCAAAGTGCCATATAAATGTGAGCCATCATCACTTGTGTGATTTTGGGTAAGCTAGAGGCAGCCAGGTGGCTAAGTGGATAGAGCACTGGACTTGGAGTCAGGGAGACCCAAGTTCAAATCCTACCTCAGACACTTAATAGTTGGACAACTTACCCTGGGCAACTCAACTTCTTAGCTTCAGTTTCCTTGTTTGCGAAATAAGGGAATTGGATTCAGTGGTGTTAAATGTCCCTAATTCTGTGGTCCATGATCCTGTAAGTTCCATCACGTCTCTGAGCCTCAGTTTCTTTATCTGTAAAATGAAGGAGTTGGACTAGATTTCTAAGCTCCTTTGAGCCTTAAATCCTATAAATTTGTAAGCTGTGTGCCTCTGGACATGTTGCTTTACCTCTGAGCTTCAGTTTCCTGATCTGTAAGATGTGGATAACAACACCTGTGCTCTGGAACCCCTGTGTGGTTGTAAGGAAAGAGATTTGCAAGCTGTAAAGGCCTACAGGAATAGGAGTGGTGGTTGTTATAACCATGGCCAATTCCCCAGAGCTCCCCTTCACCTGGCTGGGGATGGTCCACCCCAGCCAGCTTCCTGATGACCTTGGGCATTGTCTGTGACTGTCAGTGACATACTTAATGGGGGATGGACACATAACAGGATGTGTGAGGCCCATTATCTGGGGGCCCAGCATGGTTCCTGGAATCACGTCCATCTCTCTCCTCTTCACCTCTCTTAATCTATGGCTTCCCCCAGGGTGGCCATTCTAGGTGTGATTTTATTTTTGTAGGGTGGGTCATACATGGAAGGATGGATGGATTTCATTTCCTGACATAACAGTAATGAGGCAGTGAATTAGGTTACCTTCCTTTGGGTCATTTCTGGGCCACTTCATCTCTGTCTAGCCCCAGCTGCCTTTCTGCTGGGAGGGACAGGAATGCTAGTGGTCTCTCACCTCAGACTGGACCAAAAGAGAGGTGAGAGTCAGGAGCCCTCAATGTGTGGTTGGCAGGCAATCAGCCAGCATTAAGCACTGTGCTAGGTGCTGGGGGTACAGAAGTCCTCGAGGAGCTGACCTTCTGTTAGAGGAAACATCTTGCATACCTAATAAGTAAATACAAACTAAATACAAATTTATTTATAATCCCTGGTTTCCTCACATAGTTGTGTGAGGTTGTTGCAAAGAGCAAATTGGACAAAGGTTGTGAAATTGCTTTGTATGATGAAAAGCTCTGTGCAAATGCTTATTGGGTTTGGGGTTTTTTTGTTTGTTTGTTTGTTTTTATTTTACTAACTGAATACCCTCAGAGTTTCTGGGCTTCAGATCTTTGCTGCCCTTTCTCTGGAGAAGTAAAACAAGCTTGGATTACCCCCAAAGGCTCTTGGGTAAATCTCTTTCTTCTCTTCACAGTTCCTCTGAGATTTCCCTTCAGATTGGGGAGCAGGGTGGGTAGGAGGGTCTGTGACATACTCTCCAATAGCATTAATGATGGTGCCCCCCGAGGGGGACTTAGAAATGTAAGGAAAAGTCCTTCCCCCCACATCTCACCTACCCACAGCAACTGTTCCCCCTAACAGAACTGATCCATCCTTGAGAAAGATTGTTTCTAGCAAAGAATGTCTGGGACTCAAATTTTCCTTCTTGGGAAGGAAAGGAGGAGCAGGGGGCAGTGCCAGGTCTTCCTGGCCCTGGGAAGGGGTAGGATTGAATAATACCCGTCTGAGGTGTTTATTGCTCATTAGTTCATCTATCTGGTTCCAACCACCAGGAGGTCCTGCGGATAAGCTAGGGTGTGGTTTCACGATGGAAGTAATTTTTCCTACATCACCACTACAGCTACCACCACCACCACCGTCATCATCAGTCAGTGTTTGCCTATAGCCCAGTTTTCTCTTTTAGAAACAGGATGGTTGGTTGCCCTTCCCAGCCCCTGGGGCATGCCCCATGAGAGGAAAGGATGCAGCTTCCTGTTTAGATCTGACCTTTCTAGTTGGACCAGGAGAGGCCCTGGTCCTGCAAGCCCACTGGTTAGCAACAATAACAACTAACCTTTGTATAAACACTTTTAACTTTTCAAAGCTCTCTTTCTTATCTCATTTGATACAACAAGCCTATAAGGTAGGTGAAATAGATCTTATCCCCATTTGACAGATTAGAAAACTGGGGGTAGAGACATTTAAGTGTCTTGATCATGAAGCTAAGTACTCTATAGGCTGTGTAACTGGGTTTGGACTCCTGGACCTTTCATCTTTATTGTGATATACAGATCACTGGACATAGTCAAACAATCTAAATTCAGATCCCAGCAGTGCCACTGTCTAGTAGTATGGGCCTGTTTCCTAATCTGTGAAGTAAGAACAATCTATATACTCTCTACCTTACAAAGATGTTGCAAAGGAAGCATTTGTTTTCGGTTGTTCATCCTTCATTCTCAAAGAGGACTAGTGACATCTGGAAGGTGATGTCTTGACTTTCAAGTGAGTTGGATTTAAGTGAGGCAGGGCTGTGCAGTCATCAGCTTCACTCTCTCCTCCAGTCATGGGAGTCCAGTGGCAAGACATAATTCAGGATGACTGGTGATGGCCCAGGATGCAGTGGAAGACCTTGGCCTTTTTAAGCTAAGGTCTTTCCCAGGTCCCAGTTTGTCTGTGGCAATACCCATTCAGTAGTTAAAGTCTAGTTAATAATTGAGGTAAAAGATGGCCTAGTTTGCCTTCACAAAGGAATCAGTCAGGGTGGGGAAGACCCTTGGAGTTTCTGGTCAAAACAGGAATAATTGCTATCTACACTCACTCACTTTGTACACCTCTGAGGGCTGTACAATTGGGAGGTAATGGGGTTACAAGGTACTGATCCAAAGCTTGCAATTGAAGGAGGTTCAAGGCAGTTTAAAGATGGCTCAGGAGCATAAAGACATGTCCTCACCTACACTTGCCCGCCCCCCACTTCGTGTGTGTGTGTGTGTGTGTGTGTGTGTGTGTGTGTGTGTGTGTGTGTGTGTGTGTGTGTAGGCCATGTGTAGGAGGTAGATCCTCTGTGAGGCTTTGATTCAGGGGTTCCCTTGTGAATTCCAGGACCCTGGAGCAACAGGATGACAGCTTTGGTTGTGTTAATTATGTGTTGAACCAGTATAATTAAAACCAGCCTCGGCAAGAGAAGACAGGCAAGTGGTTTGCATACTTAACCCTCCCCTCCTCCTCCCCTGAATTATCCTTCAAACCTCACACTGACATGGTCTTCTATAGTTTTGCATATAGCAGGTCCTCTGGAATCCCTTCTCTAGGTAGGGGAGCATGGGGTCAAAA